CATAGGCCTTCTTATCATCAACTTCCTGAGTAGCTTCCTCAAAAAACTCCAACAGATTTGTTAAATTTTTAAATGATCATTTCCTAATCCTTGTAAAATGACACATCATTACTTACCATCATATACACACATTATGTCTCGATGGACGCAGTGATAAACATTTGCGCCTATAGGGTATCTCACCCTGACCCTGATATCAGACACTGTTTGCTTCTTCAAGGCTAAATCTCACAAGGAGAAAAATCCAGTGAACAATGAAGTTACAGACTTTATGGGTAACTATGTGCATGAATAGTTTTCCATTTTCGTGTCTGCAGCCTCTCTAAACACTGAGAATACTGAGGTATTTCCAACCTTTGGCAAACTACACTATATTGCCAAAAGTATTGGGACACCCCTCCAAATCATTGAATTCAAGCGTTCCAATCACTTCCATAACCACAGGTGTATAAAATCACACACCTAGGCACCTAGTGCTTCTACAAACATTTACGAAAGAATGGGTTGCTCTCAGGAGCTCAGTGAATTCAAGTGTGGTATCATGATAGGATGCCACCTGTGCAAGAAGTCCATTCGTGAAATTTCCTTGCTACTAAATATTCCACGGTCAACTGTTAGTGGTATTATAACAAAGAGGAAGCAATAAGGAACAACAGCAACTCAGCCACAAAGTGGTCGGCCACGTAAAATCACAGAGCGGGGACAACGCATACTGAGGTGCACAGTGTGCAGTAATCACCAATTGTCAGCAGAGTCAATGGCTACAGACCTACAAACTTCGTGTGGCCTTCAGATTAGCTCAAGAACAGTGCATAGAGAACTGTATGGAATGGGTTTCCATGGTCGAGCAGCTGCATCCAAGCCTTACATCATCAAGTGCAGTGAAAAGTGTCCGATGCAGTGGTGTAAAGCACACTGCCACTGGACCCTAGAGCAGTGGAGATGTGTTCTCTGGAGTGACGAATCACGCTTCTCCATCTGGCAATCCAGTGGACTAGTCTGGGTTTGCCGGTTGCCAGGAGAACGGTACTTGCCTGACTGCATTATGCCAAGTGTAAAGTTTGATGGAGGGGGGATTATGGTGTGGGGCTGTTTTTCAGGGGTTGGGCTTCACCCCTTAGTGAAAGGAACTCTTAATGCTGCAGCATTTGAAGCCATTTTGGACAATTTCATGCTCCCAACTTTGCGGGAACGGTTTGAGGATGGCGAGTCTGGTGTGGAGGATCTTGACTGGCCTGCACAGAGCCCTGACCTGAACCCAACAGAACACCATTGGGATGAATTAGAGCGGAGACTGTGAGCCAGACCTTCTCATCCAACATCAGGGTCTGACCTCACAAATGCTCTCCCGGAAGAATGGTCTAAAATTCCCATAAACACTCCTAAACCTTGTGGACAGCCTTCCCAGAAGAGTTGAAGCTGTTATAGCTGCAAAGGTTGGGTCAACTCCATATTAAAGCCTGTGTATTAAGAATGGGATGTGATTAAAGTTCATGTGTGTGTAAAGGCAGGTGGCCCAATACATTTGGCAATATAGTGTACATGAAGACTGAAGTATTGTTGTACATTCCATTCGGGGGACTTGCTGGTAGCTAATTTTTTAAGGTCACCAAGATGTATTTTTTTTATCCACCTACACTCTCAGAAAACAGTAAAAGAAAAATGTACCTTTGCTGTCACTGGAGCTGCACCTTGCGGTCTGCCAATTGTACCCACAGCTGTAGGTAATTGTACCTTTTAAGGTACAGAAATGGACTCCGAGGAACATTTATGTACCTTTGATGGTACATTAATGTTGTTTGTATGTTTGGGATGTTCCTCAGAGTCCATTTCTGTACATTAAAAGGTACAATTACAAGGGTACAGCCCCAGTGACAAGCACATTTTTACCCTTATTTTCTGAGAGGTCACTGTGGTTAAGTTACTTCTTCCTTGACTAAGTACATAATTACGGACATTTTATTTTGTCTGATTCATATAAGCACAACAGCAGATCAGTCCCATTTACAGGTAGGCTTTGCAATTTTATTTCATTTTAAAAACTAATGAGAATGACAAATTAACTAAAATATACACTCATCTTTTACTACTGCAAAATATTTATATTCAGGGGTGGACATAACGGGTACGCAAGTACGCATTCACCTTTAGAAGCGCTGTGTGGCAACCGATTAACAGCGCAAATATGTACGTATTTTATGTGCATTATCGCCGATATAACAAGAAATTACCATGCATTTTAACCTCTATACTGCAAATGAAGTACGAAATAACACGATAATTTTCAAATCGGCGCTTCCGTACAAATGCACATAAAATACGTACATATTTGCGCCGTTACAACAATCGATTGCCGTACGTATCGCTTTTAAAGGTGAATGCGTACTTGCGTACCAGTTATATCAATCCCTGCTTATATTACACCGATGGCCATCTATAGTGCCCTATAGAAACGGTTAAAAACCCGGTAATTACCATTTTTCAAGAAAAAAAAGTATTACACTGATTTTGAAACATAATAAGGCATTTGTGAGACTTAAAAATGAGCCCTGTTCCCATTTCAAAAGAACTCACAGTCACCGTGCGTTTCTCCCTTTAAATCTGTTTAATGTATCACTTATCCCATAATTGTCTTCAAGTGCAATTCGGCAGCCGCAAAATATGCCGATGTTGATGCATTTATATAAAACAAAGCAGCTGAAACAGAAGGCAATGGGAGCTCGTAGAGGTTGTTGGTTCGAATCCTGTAAAATTGCCTGGAGTGAATATAAAATTCTGGCTGGCAAAAGGATCAGCAAAGGAAGTGAATGTAAATACAGTGCTGACTGTCAGTGGAAAGATCTTTTCTAATGAAGCTGGGTTACTGCAGCTGGTGGGGCGCCGTGGACAAATTTCACAGTTTCATATACTGTTGAATTTCCAGAAGGGAAGACCTGTTTCAGAGAAGAGGAAACAGGTGTTTAGAGACAGTTACACAAGAGCAGCGAGTTGCGGCCATGGAAAATGTCTGCTCAGTCTTTCAGATATGAGGTTTCAAATGAATAAATCTAGATAACAAAATTGTGCACATGCACCTGAGAAAAAGAAGAGAGATCTTCATATTCGTATTTCTTTTTCATGCATATTTCAAATTAGTTTGGTGTTTGAGCAGCGGATGAATCAGGAGATCTGTGCTATCCGATATATTTATATGTAAATATTAAACGTAAAGGTTCAATATAAATGTCAAATGTAAATATAAATGTTAAACGTAAATGTTAAATGTAAATATAAATG